TTTTTTTTTAGAGGATTGTGAGCATTTTTTGATCTTTCAAGATGCTCTTATACCACTGCATTTCATCACAGACCGCTTGAGTAAAACATCCTCTTTTTAGAGTTTCAACAAAGTCGTTCTTTCTCTTAGGTTTTTACCACTTCTGATATTTTTATCTTCTGTAATGCTTATCGCAGTTCCTCTTGTGAGCGAAGGCTCACTTTGGCTGTACATCCAAAGAGTATTGTTGTGCTATTTTGCTAGTGAGTATGTTTACGAAGTCTTATAGAAGTAGGAGAGCAACTGCTATTCAATAAGCACATGAGTAAACGAAAGAAGTAAAAAAGATCTCATTCTCGTAGACATAGAAAACTTTTTTTGAGAGCTTTTTGTTTTTACTACTCTTCTTCCATTTTAGTGGGGTGTGTTTTGCTTTTAAAGTACATTACACTGTATTTAACCTTGCTGACGTCAGACCGTAATTTTTTATGAAGGAAAAGAATCCACTGAAGTTCAGAAAGAAGGTTTTATAATTTGCTCTCTGGATCCTCAATTTAATGATGTAAATTCTTTAGTATGCTGCGGAATGGCTAAGCATGTATACGGATAAGAAACTGAACGGAGTGCTAAGCACGGAGGTGCATTACGAGTATGATCCAGCAAGTTCAGATAAAATTCGTTGCCACTTGGATGACATTGAACGTTGTGGTGGAAAGTTACAGTTGCTGACAACTGATACATTTTGTCGGTATGTTATCTGTCTTTTATAATATGCGGTAGTTAGCTAAACGAGTTTCGGGTTCTACTATAGCTGAATTTTTGGCTATTTTTGATTGTCAGTTTTATCTAATTTTGAAGCATTGTTTAATTTGTTACTACGCGATTATACATTTTTACAGATGTATTTTATTACAGATGTGCTGCACAGTTTATTGTATCGAACGCAGACTGTTCGTTTCAGTTTAAAATTCACTGTACTTCGGATATTTGGGTTTTAGCTGATCTTCTTGATTTTGAATTTTCTTCTGTTCGGTCGGTTGCATGAAAGAATTTCATATTTTAATATAATTTTCTGGAGTTTATTTCGCTTAATAAGGATCCTCCGAGTTCTAGTAATACTCTCGAAAAGACGTGTAGATTAGGTCTTTTAGTTTTTGAAATTACTTGTCCTATACTTGTCAAGTGTTGTATAATACGTGTATATTATGTACATTGTAAATTGTAAATACCAAATTTTAATAGAGATAGGGGTATTTGTTGTTGAAATGTGTACTAATTTTCACCTTTGTATCTAGTCGAATTAACCAGCCTATGGGTAATTAGTTTTTTTTTAATGCTGCTTTGTGAAAAATGCGATCGTTGTCGTTGTACAACAAGTTGTTTAATATATACTCTGTTGGCTTGTTTTATTTACGAATTTTTGTTCTAGCAAAAGACTTTTGCTTTGTTTATCAAACTGGTGATGAAAATATCTTTTACACAGGCTATGACTTTTGAGAGTAAATTTGTGTGACTCAGTTTCCGTATTAAATTTTTTAAGTAACGGAGGATTACTTCTAATGCTGACAAAATTTTCAGAGGAAGAACAGTGGGTCTTTTTTTATTTCATGATCTGCTTAAGTTTATCTTTTAAAAAGTTATCGTTCAGCAGTAACTGAATTAGTTTTTGATCGGTGTTGAGAAGTGATTTTTCTGCACCTTTGAACTGTAGTCTAAGCGTTCCGCTCATAGTAGGTTGTTCGTCGCACCTTCAAGGTGTTGGCCACTGGTGAGTAGTGGTTGTGTTCAGCTTGGGAGATCGATAGTTTCTTACTGCTGTGGATGAGGATGACTGAGGTTTCAAAAATTGATAGGTGTACTAATAGGAGGGAGGGGGTGTAGGTAGGTTAGGTGGTGTGTGCAGAAATTTAGCTGGGAAAGAACTTTGTCTTTTAACGACATGTGCTGCACAAAATTGTGTACCTTTTTTTTTTCAGAACAGATGCAAACAAATTGGATATGAGGAGGAAGAGGATTCCATTTTGGTTTTTATTTTTACTATTTTTAGCTGTTTCTTAAGTTTTTAAACATTTGGTTACAAAGTTTGATGTAGTTGATGTAAATGTCAGTGTGCACTGAACAGAAGTTTGAATTGCTGAAGATAACTGCATATCTTCTTAATATTTGAGCCGCTAAGGTCTTTTCAATGTTTCATATTTTTAAGCAAGATTTTAGCAACAAATGGAGACTATAGGTTGAGGTTATTGGAGTTTTAATGTTATTAGTCGTTATCTCGTTTCTAAAATTCGTTTCTGCGTGTACACATTGGTTACTTTACCAATGAATGTTTCGCTGACTGGATAGTAAAAAAAAAAAGTGAAAGAATTTATTCTGCCATGCAGCTTACACTTGGATGGTTTTTATTTTGGGAAATATTGGCTGTTTTTAATCATTTTAAACCATATCAATTCTGCTGCAATGTTTTTTGCATATTTATCGTGTTTGCTCCATAAAACACTGTCAAAACGGATGAATTCGTCTTTTTTTTTTTTTGGAAATTGTGTAATCTTTTTCTTTCATTGTCAAAGGTAGTAATTATTCTGCCCATTTATGTATACCGGCATTGGGGAAAAAGAAATCAAAGTTTAGGATCGATAACTCTACAGTCTCTGACTGAACACCTGAGAAAGGGACTTCAAAATGCAAACTG